TTCCTTTAAATAGCAAAAAGTGCTAAATGTCTTCTGATAGCCTATGTGGCCACAGTTGCCCCATCTATGGTTTTAAAAACAGAATGGAATGTGTTCTTCCAAAATCATTCTTGAACTATAGCTCATTCTGTTAAATCTTGGGGCACCAGTTCTATTGATATTGTCGATAATCTCCAAAAGGTGAGGATGGTAACTGTGTTGAAGGCAACTGGGAGGGATCTTCAGCAAACTGAGGACCTGCAATTAAGAAATAAAAGTATTTCTTTAAATCATCTGAATATGCTCATTACTGCTTGTTTTGATAAAGGACCCAAGAAATCCTGATCAAAAAAAAAGGAAGGCATTAACAGAATTTCAAATTCTTATGCAAACCAGATTAAAACTAGAGGAATCCCTGAATCTCATGCCTGAAAACTGCCTTAAAACCTGAACTGAAACAAAGCCATTGTTAAAATTAACAATACAGCCCAATTATGCTTGTCTCTCTGAGCATAGTACTCTTACTTTAAGGGGCAGAGAGCCTAACAATGTGGATAAAATAAAATGGTAGAGATAATGTTACTGAACACTGCTCACATAGAAACTGTGATGTATGTTTGGTAGGTCTACTGCCACCAAAAATAAGTGTTTTTTAAAAATCTTCTGGATATAATTTTTGAAAGTCTCTGTGGAGAGTAAAACAACCAATTCAGTAAAAATAATGTGCTAAATTAGAGCCTTAATCGGAGCTTCTTTCTAGACCCGCGTAACTCCCATGAGAGTATTGGAGAACCTTCACATTTTGTATACCAGATGATAGACTGGCTTCCCTTATGTTTCAACATGAACAGCTCTCAAATGCTATGCCAGGAAAGTCAGATGGATTAATTATACCAAGAAGTAATGTTCTTCAAGTTTTTAAAGCAATTGCTGTAGCAAGCTGCCACATATCAAAATTGGAAGAATTCTCTCCCACCTCCTGACATGTATTTTTTCAGTAGCTGTTTAAATTTATTTTTACAAAGCCTAAGTATCTCAGTCATATGTTAAGAGAAGTCAATAATTCAATTTACACAACCAATTAAATAGAGAATGAACTCTGAAGTGAACAAACACACACCCCTACTCCAGCTCTCTGTAGAACAATGTGTCAATCTTTAGTTTTCAAAGGATGAACTAGACACTGTGGTTCTTATAAAAAGGGCTTTTGTAGGAATAATCAGTCTTTTATTCTTCAAGGAAACTGAAAATATCTGGAAGAGTAAAGGAAGCAGTGGTAAAATTCCCTGAAGCATTCCATGTGTTTCACTCCATTGCTATATTTGTATTATACTATAAAATGGAATCCTAGCATGACTCTGTAGGATAAGCATTGGACTGCTAACCACAAGGGGGCATGGTTCAAATTCACCAGTCCCTCTTGGAAATCCTATCACAGAATCACTATGAGTCAGAGCAGACTCCACATAAGAACACATTAACAGAAAAAAAAAAAAAGAACACATTAACAACAATAATAAAAGCAGTACCCATTCATTACAGAAAACTTGAGCAGATACTGGATAAAATGATAAACAAAGATGATCACTGTTACTATTTAAATACATTTCTAGCTAATTTTCCCCCACTGTTTTAAAAACGTTTCCATGTAAATTAATTGGAAAAATATGGTTCACTTTTCAAAGATTTCCCTCCTACACAGCTTTTCAGAACTACATCTCCTTTCTAAAATAAAATGCACTTGTTAGGCTCCTTCTAAATGTTAAGTTCTAATCAGTCAAAGGGAGAAAAAAATGTCTAAACAAGGTAGCCAAGGCTAACTTATACATGACAATGTAAATATTTTGTCATATCAATTTCTGAATACATAGAACTCTTTAGATGTTTTTATTTGAAATCTTTCAAATAAAAAAACTTTTAAAAAGAGCATAAAAACAAACTAAAAAGCAAAATTAGAAAGTGACCATCATAAATGTCTCAACTCAGAAGTAATGACTGAAAAGCAAAAGCATGAGGTGAAAGCAACGTCGTCTAGGTCATCCTACTGGCATGTGTGTGAAAATGGTGCTAAGACAATACTGAATTGCTCTCTAGGTGCCTCAGGGAAATCAAATCAAATAGAGAAGTATGATCCATTCTTAACTCTATGCAAAGTCCTTTCCAAGCTTCAAAAATAATTTTCAACATGTCTCACTATTCTGCATATTTCCTTCCTCAAATACCAGGTCAATTTTTCACAACTATAATCCTCACAAAATCTGTCTGTTTCCTTTCAATGAAAAGTCCAGGTATATACTCATTTAGACAACTGAAATTGTGGTGGTGGTGGTAATGATAAAGAATATACACAGCAAAACACACACCAACTCAACCATTTCCACACGCACAAATCAGTGATATTAGTTACATCCTTTGAGTTGTGCATCCATTCTCACCCTCCTTTATCTGAGTTGCTTCGATCCCACTACAGCTCTTATTTATTGTGTTGAGTTGCTGTTTGTTGTCACTTGGATCCTATGTGGTGCTA